AAGATATTTTTGTAGGTACAAAATTTAATAATCGAAATAAAGTATAAAACTTAATATTACGAGACATATTTAAAAAAAAACAAAAAAAAAAACAAAAAAAACAAAAAAAAAACGGGTGAAGCAACCGGTTTCGCTCCCGCTCTTCAGGCTTCAATGGGAGATTTAAAATTATCACAGATAAATGTACAATGAAAGGAAGTTGTGAAAAAAAAAAAATTAGAAAAAGGAACTAGAGGCAAATGACAGCGAGTCCCAACAAACACTCACGTTGTTTACAAAAGAAGGCTAACGGGACCCGATGTAAAGTGCCTCCAGAACCTTTAGATGAAATAAGGAGTGAGACCGGGACAATACGGTGAACCAGTCACCACTAGTATTTAGTCACCCCACACACGAGGCCGGTTTAACGTGGGATCTCCGAGCCCGTGGGATCTCCGAGCCCGTGGGATCTCCGAGCCCGTGGGCTCAGCCAAAATATGACCTTTGAACCGTATAAACGGGTTCAGGGTCGGTTTACCTCCCCGAAAGAGACTCCGCCCTTTGGCGTAGACTCGTTCGTGTTCCTCCCCGCCCGAAGGTTGAGAGCTCAACCAATCAGCCAGTCAGCCGGTCGTCTGACTTCAGACTGAACCAATCGACACTAAATTTGGCTGCACAATCTCTGTTCTTTAACAGGTGTTCGCATATGGCGGAACTATAGGCGTTCGGGACGAGTCTATTCAAAGGCAAGGTGCGATTTCTAATTTTTGTATATATACATAAATTATAATAAAATGAAAGAACATTAAGATATATAATCCGGTGTTCTTATTGATATTTTTATTTTTACAAAACAGTGATCAATGTAAATTTACAGAGCATAAATATTATAAATTAACTGATTTAAAATATGGTTTCTTCGTTACGCAAGAATTACCATGTTTCAAAAACCGAAGCTAAAAGCTTCAAGTTTAATTATATAATTAAATTAAAAGCATTAGTTCTGTTTCCTCTTCAAGCAAATTTTGGAATAACTTATTTTTAAATTTACTGAGTTTTAAACGCAAAAGAAACCAATAAAACACGTACAGTAAAATAGAAATTAATAAAAAAGAACTAGAATATGTCGGTCATTAAATAACCCATGTCCATTGTACATACATGAGAAACTATATATTACTAAGTTTATAAAATTAAAAAATTACTGAATCAAAAAAATGAAAACGCTATTCTTTGCCGACATTGTCAAAAAGGTTTTTTTTTAAATAATATATAAAATAAAAAATAAAAAATGGGAGCTGGTAATATACATAGTTATATTTGATATGTAATAATATTTGTTTAAATAATTTAAGTAATTCTGTTACATTTATTTGTTTTAAAAAGAAATATAGTCTATTAGTAATTAAGATTAAAAATAATATTTTAAAATTGTAGTTCAATATCACGTATTCTAAATCGAACACACCTTTTAGAAAGAATCTTTAAGTATACAAGTACGAATTTAACGGAAAAAATGCTGAAAAACATTTTGTCGTTCATAAAAAAAAAACCCAGACGACATGCGTTGAACGGATGTCAAAAATTCGTTGAAAAATGCGCCCCTACCTTACTTAAACTTAACCTCTTTTTCTTTAACTCATAATTGATACAATAGTATATATATATATATATATATATATATATATATATATATATATATATATATAATATATAATAAAAATGAACACGCAACCGCCCTGTCTAAATTATTGGATTTCTCTGTATCCTTGAAACGAAAAAATATGAATTGCATGTGCGTTTTTAAAACAATTATTTTTAATAAATTTAAAATAAGTTATTCCAAAATTAGCTTGAAGAGGAATCAGAAGTAAAGCTTTTAATTTAATTATATAATTAAATTTGAAATTTTTAGCTTCGGTTTTTTAAACATAGTAATTCCTGTGTAGCGAAGAAACCATATTTTAAATCAGTTTTAATATTTTTAAATGACATGTTCATTCTTAATTAATCATATCTAAGGGTCGGAAGCTCATGAAGGATTTAAATAAAGATTATATATATATATATATATATATATATATATATATATATATATATATATATATATTATTATTATTATTATTATTATTATTATTATTCCAGGGCCATTTTCAACATATTCAAGAAGACGTTCATCTTCGCACTCTCTAACCTGCTAAATTTCTGACCTTTACTAAAAAGGCTTCACGTACGATTTCATTTTTCCATTGCTCTTTGGACTGTCATATCTGAAACTCTTCTCTCACGTGCCAACCGTCTTATGAATTGAGTTGGATCATTTCTAATTGATCTCTTTATCCCTAAATGGAAATGATGGTGCCTCTTGCTGTTGCAACCTCCAGATTCCGTTTTTATCTCTAAATGTTCCCTCATTTATTTTTAAATTATTCACCGTTCTCTTGATGGTTCTTGATAGAAACTAGGGTATGAATGTTGGTACCATTACTTAAGGCCTCAATGATCTTTTTTCCTCTGACTATTGCCCAGGTAGGAAGACAGTGTTCCAGACACAAAACCATTTTAACCTGTTCTTTCTCTAGCTGAATAACTCGAAGCGTTTTCAGTGCTTCTTACGATAAATTGTCAAGATGACGAAACGTCTTATCGAAAACCTGGAAAAAAGAAAATTCAGTTAGTTTAGTGATTCTTTAGATATTAAAATTTTTGGCGATGAACAATTCTGTTGTTTTACGATTTAGATATATAGATAGATATATAGATAGATAGATTGATTGATTGATGGCAGAACTAAACATTAGTAGTTTTAATCACTTTAGGATAAATGAATGTGCAAATTTCGGTAGACACGCAGATTGATAGATATGTCTTCATGCCTTTCGCGAGTGCATTTGTGCGAAAATGTGTGATTCAGATTAGGTTGGAATTTGAATATGGTTCGCTGGTTCTATTTTCCTTACGATAGCCACTACGCTGCCCTGATGTCCCACATAGATTAGCCAAATATTTCTAATTACTCCCAACTTGATAACGGCTATTCTTGGTCTACATCCTTGTTTTTAAATCTCACTGTTAAGATTGATAGCCATTTTTTTGTTCATCTTGATTTAGTGCACATATATTTCTAAAACAACATGACCAAATAAAACACAATATCGCGATTTATTATCTTCAACATAGTCAGTTTCCGTTTTAGTCGTAATTGTCTCATCCGGCTCCGGGGACGTTTCTAGATTGCTTTCTTAAATATATGCATGTATTTTTTTTTTACTTCACAATTTGAGAAGCTATATATCTCCTATATGTGCTTAGAATCATTTGGGCAGCACCTACATCCTCTTCTTTCATTGAACATGAGACCAATTTGGGGCAACACTCTGCAAAGGGATTTTCTTAGATAAGAGCCTGCACTGAACAGAAGACACTAGCATGGCTTACTTGAACTGTTTTTTAATTGTGATTCTATTTTTTGATAGTTGCAAATATCAACAGCAGCTGACCTGCCACTTGTGGTCCTGTCATAAGGGTTAGTTTCAACTTTCTCTGTAAGATTACTATGAACTGCACTGATCCATCCACTTACAACTGCTGAGTCATGTATATATTTTGCATAGACATTCACTAATATTTTGTGTATATATGAAGCATATTCTCCTTCCATATTTTATTATTACGTGTTACTTTCTAGACAATCAGCTAGCAATCCTAAAAGACCTTTAAGGGAATGGAGCACCGGAACAGATGTAGCAGCAGTAATCAAAGCATGGACGAATGGTAGACTTATAAATATGTCAGAGAGATTCTGGAGAGAAACATTGTCTATCATGAAACAGTGAAGCAAATTCAATAGTAACATACCTAAGAATAGAATCAATATAATGTACCCACTTCATGTCAACCGAGAATGTTACTCTGAGAAGACTCAACGAGCCAGTCTCCTGGAGGCTAGCATTAGCCTTGCTGCTAAGGGGCCGAAAAGGGTTTCTCAGATAAAGAAACGTTAAAATGCCAATCCTTGCCCCAGTTAACAACTGACTATAAATCCCTTTTTAGATCTGCTGCCATTTTGTGCTTATCGAACAGATCAAACGTACTATCGAGACAGGACTAAATAGTTGTGTCATCAACACATAGAGTTGAGAAGTGGGTGTCATCAGGAATGTCACTGATGAAAATTAAGAAGAAGGTAAATCCAGGAATAGAGCCCTGATGGATTCTTGTATTAGTCAAAGAAATATATAGAAAAGAAGAGTTGATGAATGATGCCATAATCCTTGCCTTCATTTCATCTTTGGCGTTACAAGGAGTTTTGTTGGTCTCTTACCCAACTGCGCCCCACACATAATAATCAAGGGGGGTGCAGTCAGGGTAGTTACTTGGCCAGAATAAAGGGGTGCTGTGGCCGACTGCCATGATTGTTTTCTCCTTCTTGAGTGACATGGTGCAGAGTCATGTTGCCAGACATAGGGTCTTCCAGTTCTCATCTTCTTGATCCAGGGGACCACTACCTTCTCAAGGCACTTGATGCACGCCTCCGTGTTGAGTCTGATGTCCTCACCAACAAATTTGGGAGTCCGTTTCTTAGAACGATCAGAGTGAGTTTTCCGAGCTGTCGTACATTCGTAATCACCATTAGACTCTTCCACCTCTTTGTGAATCCTCTGCACTGTCCTCAGTTTGATACCCAACTACTCTGAAATATTTGTATTGGGGCTTCCGGTGCGAATGCCAAGCAGTACAATTTCTCCTTTCCGTCATGGTACCCTTTTTCTCACACCACAATTTCCAAATGACACTACTATACAATGCAGTCCAACAAATCAAAAACAAATAACGCGAAATTAAAAATATTATATGGCGACAATTTACTCCATTTTACTGTTTTGCCTTTATGTGGAATGTATTTCTGTGAGGTTTAGGTTGGGGGTATCCTGTATTTTATATATTTTTAAAAGGAGTCGGTTATTTTTTGTAAAGTCTTTTTTTTTCCGGACAAATAAATATCTGCTTTTGGAATGTTTATGCCAATCGACTTCGCTTCCAATCGTTTGTTCTTGCATACTCAGATTTACAATTTTATCACTATGACTCTGTTTGTCTCACGGACATTCATTTATCTGTCAGTTTAAACTATACCACTCTGCTTCGTGGTGCCATCCCGCCTGTCACATACAATCGTTGACACTGACAGCTCCAAAAAAAAACATCAATACATAAGGGGTTTTATTACAAAATTTATGCATTTTATTCTGCATTTTTTAAAGGAAGAATGTGTTGCATTGATATTCAAAGTATTTTATTTTATTTGAATATTAATTCTAGAATAGATGGATTTGGCATGGTTTCGAAAATGATCTTTTAGAAAACATTGCGTGACCCAAGAACTTCAGTTCCACTGCAGTTCCTACTGTGCTTCTACGATTTTCGGCTACAGCTATTGAAGAGAATTCTGAGAAAGAATTATGGAATTGGTTCTAACATTTCCGCCCTTCAATCAAAGATCCTCTATGCTGACTGAGTCGACCCATTCTGACTCTCTTCATATTCCATTCGTAAGGATTAAGTTCCCCCGAGAGAGCTTCTTCCACAGAACAAAGTAGTACGGACTCCAAAAGGATACTTTCCTGATAAATACAATGTTAATCTCTTCCTTTCAAGATTCATCCGTTATCTATCTTACATGTCTTCACAATATTCAACCCTTACTCTCCCTCTCTACGCACTCTCACAATATTCCAATTCTGTAATGCTCTATATTGAGTGGCACTTGGACCACGTATTGAGCGAAAGTGATCGCAATATACTAGTCCATAATTTGAATTCGGCTCGACAATGCTACGCTGTGCGCTGATATCTGTTTAGCTACTGGCACATTCTGTTTATTTTGCTACAGTCTTTTAAGAGAGAAGGCCCGCCTTGTCTAGACAATCAACTTTCAAGTCTCGGTTATTTGTCTTTGATCTCAACCTTAGGTTGAGATCATAGTCAAAGAACACCACTGGAAAATTCGTAAACTTAAGGAATCAGCACATATGCTAAATCACAACAATCTCTTGAGTCGACCAAGCATTGAAATGAAAACAATATGGGGACCAGTAATAAGGAGTGCCAGAGAAAAGCGATAACAACAAAAATTGCAATATAAGCTCTGGTAAAAACATGTGATGATAACAGCAAATATTACAATACAAGCAATGGTAAAAATGATTGCTGAAGACTTTAGGTTTATAATACACATAAATTCATACACAGATGTCCTCAAGGACACATGGCACAATTGATAAAGGCGTTAGTTAGATCCAGTGACAGGAAACAGAGAGTGTGAGTTCAATGCCTGGTTAAGCAGGAGATAACTGATAACTGGCATCCATTAGACATGGCACGTGGAACTAGAACAGTCCACCCCTTTGAGCGAAATAAAGGGTTCAGTTCGACATTCCAACGACGGCCAAAACGTTGTAATAAATATGGCGACAAAGATGAGGACAATAGTCCGAATAATGTAAATGTGTGTATATAATACCTCATCTCAGAAATATAGACAGCATGTGAATTTAAAATACTTGAGTTTATGAATGTGTTGCAAAAAGTATAATAGTTTGGGGGAGGAAGCTGTAAGCAGGCAAATGTAAGAATTTGCGCAATGAAAATAGCAACGGACCTGCAGAAATGACACAGCGTAAGATTATTGCAATAAATGTTCTGTAAAAATGGGATTATTTAGAAAAAAATGGTAAGAATTTTCTAAATTATAAAGCTACAAGAAGCAGTACAATTAATCTGAATAGCTGTTAATTTCATTTTATTTTTAAACATCAGATAAACTAAAAGGCAAGGATTCTACAGTGGCCTAGTGGATAAACGTGCTGGTGGGTGAATATGGATGAAATGCACTCTAGTTTTAATGATCAGAGTGGACAAAATTTTTTAAAAATCTTTCACGAACTTTAAAGAAAATGACTTATTTGAAGTTAAATTGCTAACTTAATATATTAAAAAAAGAAAAAAATTATGTTCCGTCTTCATCTATATTGAATCAATAGCTTCATCTACCGCAAGGAAAGTTGGATCTCTGTGTTGCTCCAGAAGTTTTTTCTCGTTTGAGTCCATCCTTCAGATCTACAAATTTACCATTCGTCAATGTATGGAATACGGTTGCCATATATGGTCTAGTGCCCCCGTTGTTCATCTCGAGCTTCACGACAAAATCCAAAGACAGATATGCAATCTGATCAGTCCAGACTAAGCAGTTCGACTGCAGCCACTTTCTCACAGACGTGTTGTGGATTACCTCTGTCTTTTCTACAAATATGTTTATGGCAACTCCTCTGACGAGCTATTTTTCACTGGTGGCCCGACTGATGAATTTAAGCATGCTACTAGATTGTCATCTCGATCCCTCTCTTACTGTCGAAACAATTAACCCATTACCTGCCATGAACCCTATTTGAGGATCTGTTAAAAGTAAACTCAGTACATGTTATTCCTTGTATTTACATGCATTACATTTGCGGAGGTATATTTTACAACACTTAGCCTTTAAAGGTTTTATTCTTAGGCGTAAGAAGAAACTTTCTGTCGTAGTTTTACATTTCACGAGTAGAAAAATAATGACTATTTTAAAAAGTATTATTTTATTATTTTTAATCAATATTATTTTTTGATGTTTTATACACATATATATTTGATGTTCTAGTTTCTATAAAAATGACAATGATAACTACTGAAATTAAACATAAGGAATAAATCAAATCCTAAGACATCTGCCAAGACCAAAAATGTGCATGAAAAAAAATTGTCAGTTAATGGGTTAAATGTAACCGCCTCTTCTATTGTAACAGCTTCTTCTTTCGCACTTCCCAACAGTGGAACTCTCTTCCTCTTACTTGCTTCCCTGACAACTATAATCTTCAAAAGTGGAAATGTAATGTCAATTGACATCTTCTGATGCCCTGATCCCTGTTCATCTTTTTATCCTTTCCTCAACCCCCCCTCTATACCCAGTCTTTTCTCTTGTTCTCTGTAAACCCTTGCGTACTAGTGGCACTCCCCTCTTTGCTTGGGTTGAAGGCTTATAAAACAAAAGAAAGTAAAAAAAATTCGATATTTTTAAAACAAAACAAAAAAATACTTTCTACATTTTTCCAACAGGAATGGTCAGACATTTGTTATTCATCAATCCATGTTTCTACTTTCAAATGTTATTTTTAGTGTGTCGAAAGAACACGAAGTGGAAGCTGATGGTAGTCCTGGAAGAGAACTTGAAAAGCGTAATTGAGCCAGTAACGTGTTCAATATTTCCTATATATTGGCATCTTTTGTAGATTTCGCGGGCTCATTCCATCGGATGGACAACAATGTGTCTTTGACCTAAATATGTTGTTAATTGGATCATTTCTGAATATGGAAATTTCTTGTCCTTTTAACATATAAACATTTGCAAAGTTCTAATTCGTGTGGGTCAATAATGAAATCGTGGGAAATAAAGTCATGTTTATTGTACACTCGATTACGAGTTCTGAAACCCATGAGGGTCGTAGTTGCACAACATGTACTGCATCTGTGGCAGCTGTGGGTGTGTATAGCGCAAGATAACTTGACGGAGACCATCCCATATCAAGCTCGCTTTAAATTCATAATTTTCTTTTGTTTTCGACTGTATGACACCCAAGACTAGAGAACACAATCTGCTCTACAATTTAACCAATAGCTAAAGAAGGGGATTCCCGCCTTTCAAAACGGCAGTTGTGCGAAATTGAATGCAATATAGTAAACTTTAATTTGAATTCGGCTGACCGATGTTATATTCTGCATCGATATCCTTCACACTGTCCGCACATTCTGTTTATTTTGCTACAGTCATTTCAGAGAGAAGGATTTGAAAATCAACCTTTTAAATCTCGATTTTCGCCAATCTAATTGTAGTAGTCACAAAACCCTACGAGCAAGGCACTCGTTATGGAACAATTTCACTATAGATGTAATGGTCTTCAAAGCTGGTTCTCTACATATTACTTGACGATTTCGGTTATATGTAATCCTAGCCCGTATATTGGTAAAATAAAACCTTGCTTTCGAAAAGTGAAAATCTCTTAAAGGCGATAAATTGAAGGAAGGAATGATTTAATCTTTAAGAAGATTTAGCGCAAGAGTGGACAGGGTTTCGTAATTGGATTTCTAATCTTCAATTTTTGTCATTAATCGCTCGTCACATGCACAGGAGACATAAAACTGAACGTGTCAGAGTAATCTCCCTTTTCATTTCGCCCTGATCTGTATACCCAGAGACATTCTCTTTCTTCATACATCTTCCCACATCACCATTTTATTTCGATCTCTCTTTGCTGCTGACTGCATTGCGAGTTCTTTTTTTATTCTTTGACACTGTTTCGTAAATTTATTTATTTATTTTACAATTACTTTCTTTATTTCTTTTTCTGTAATTTTCCATTTCTTTCCATTTTGGTTCTTGGAATTTATTTATTTTTGGCATTCCTTCTTCCATTTTTTTTTCATTCCTTCAGATATCAATCTTTTTGTCGTTTCTTTGTGTATTATCTTTTTTTCTTTATTTCTTCTCCCTCCATTCTTTCGTTTTTTCAATTTGCACTTCTTGCCTGTCTTTCTTCCATTCGATGTTTCTCTATTTCTCACCCCCCCCCTACACTTCCATTTTTTCTTCATTTTTTTTAAAATAATTATTTCTCTTTTCTTCTTTTCTATGTTTCCACGTGTCTTTTCTTCTTTTTCTCATTTGTTTTTGGTTCAATTTTGTGATTAGGTTCTCCTTTTTTCCTGGCTTTGAATTTTTTTTTTTTTGAGGTTTCCTTTTCTTTTTTCTTTCATTCCAATCGTTGGTTTGTTTTAAATCTTTTTTCATATCTTCCTATATTTCACTATTCTTTATATTTATATTGCCACTTCTTCTATAATTTTTTCTGTCTTTATTCTCCATTCTTTCCAATATCGTCTCTTTTTTTTATTTTCCTTTTTATCCTTTTGCTATCTTCCATTTTCTTTTTCCTTTCTTTTTATCTTTTCCCTTTGTCCCATTTCGATTTTTCTTTTCTCGCATTTTTTTTTCCTTTTTGTCTTTTGTCCTTTTTTTATTTCAATTCCTTTTTCCCATTTTTCCTTTTTTTTCAATTTTTCTTCCTTTTTCTAATTTTTTTGATTTCAATTTTGTCTTTTTTTCCCATCTTACATTTTTCTTCCTTTCTTCTTCTATTTTCATTCTTTTCTTTTCCTATTTTTCTTTTTTTAATTTTTCCATTTTCTCAAGTCATTTTTTTGATTTCACTCATTTTGTCTTTCTTTTCTTCCTTTGCTGAATTTTATTTTTCTTAACTTTCCTGTTTATTTTTTCTTCCTTTTCTTTCCTCCATTTTCTACTTCCATCTTTCTTCTTTCTTATTCCGTCTGTTTTCCTTCACTATTTCCTTCTCTTCTTTTCCTTTTTCTGTTTGTGTCTTTCTTTTCTTTTTCTTTTCTCTCATTTTTTGTTTCACTCTTGTGATTACGTCCACCTTCTTTCTTGGTTTTGATATTTTTTCATAAAGCTTTTCTTTCTTCATTTCTATCATTGGTTTGTTTCAAATTGTTTTTCATGCCTTCCTATATTACATTATTTTTCATATTTATTTTGACCTTTTTTTCTGTATTTTTCCTCTCTTTATTTATTCTTCACTCTCTCCCACATCGTCTCTTTTTTCCTCCATCCCTTTTTTTTATTTTCTTTTTTAGTTTTTTTTTTCTGTATTTGATTTTCTTTTCCGTTTCTTCTTTCTTTTCCCTTTGTCCCTGTTTGATTTTCTTTTCTCCTCCTCTTTTTACCTTTCTTTTCTCCTACTCTTTTTACCTTTCTTTTCCTCCTCTTTTTTAATGTTCCTCTTTTTTTAATCTTTCTGTTTCCTTCCTAACTTTTCATCTTTGTTTTTCCTGGATCCGTTTAATATTTTCGTGTTTCTTCCTTTCTTCTCTTATTTTCATTCTTTTCTTTTCCAGTTTTTCTTTCTTTTTTAAATTTTATCTTTTTTTTCCATCTCTTTTCCTTTTTTGGATTTTTCCCATTTTGTTTTGCTTTTCTTCCTTTTCGGAGTTTTATTTTTCTTATCTTTTCCGTACTTGTTTTCTTTTCCTTGTCTCTATTTTCTACTTCCATCTTTCTTATTCAGTCTTTTTTTTTCCCTCACTATTTCCTTTTTCTCTTTTACCTTTTCTGTTTTTGTCTTTCTTTTCTTTTCCCTTCTTCTATTATCGTCTTTTTTTTTTCTTTTTTCATTTTGTCTTTTCTCTTTCATCTTTTTTCTTCTTGTATCTTTTTTTTTTTCTTTTTTTCTTTTTTTCTTCCCCTTTTCCACCTTCTCGTTTTTCTCTTTTCTTTTCTTTCATTTCTTCTCCTGTTTCCTTTTCTTTTCTTGCTTTTTCATCTCGTTTTTCTTTCACCCTTTTTTTTTTTCCTCTTTTTCCTTCTCTTTTTTTCTCCTTTTTCCTTTTTTTTTTTTCTTTTTTTTTCTTTATTTTCTTTTCATCTTTCTTTTTCTTCATCTTTTTTTTGCCTTTTCTTTTTTTTTTCGTAACATTTTTCTCTTTTTTTTTTTCCGTCATCTCGTTTTCTTTCACTTTGACTTTTTCTTTCATCTCTTTTCCGTCTCTGTTCCTTTCTTTACTTTTCCTTCTTTTCTTTTTCTCTTTCTTTTCTTCCTCCCTTTTCATCTCGTTTTCTTTCACTTTGTCTTTTTTCTTTCATCTCTTTTCCTTCTCTGTTCCTTTCTTTACTTTTCCTTCTTTTCTTTTTCTCTTTCTTTTCTTCCTCCCTTTTCATCTCGTTTTCTTTCACTTTGTCTTTTTTTTTTTCTTTCATCTCCTTTTGTTCCTTTTCTTTACTTTTCCTTTTTTTTTTCTCTTTTTTCTTCCTTCTTTTCTTTTTTCTTTTTTTTTCTTTTTTTCTTTCATTCTTTTCCTTTTCATTCTTTTCTTTTTTTTTTCTTTTTCTTTGTCTTTTCTTCCTTTTTTCATCTCGTTTTCTTTCACTTTGTCTTTTTCTTTCTCTTTTTCCTTTTGTCCCTTTCTTTACTTTTCCTTCTTTTCTTTTTTTCTTTCTTTTCTTCCTCCCTTTTCATCTCGTTTTCTTTCACTTTGACTTTTTCTTTCATCTCTTTTCCGTCTCTGTTCCTTTCTTTATTTTTCTTTCTTTTCTTTTTCTCTTTCTTTTCTTCCTCCCTTTTCATCTCGTTTTCTTTCACTTTGTCTTTTTTTTCTTCATCTTTTCCTTCCTCTGTTCCTTTCTTTATTCTTTTCCTTCTTTTCTTTTTCTCTTTCTTTTCTTCCTCCCTTTTCATCTCGTTTTCTTTCACTTTGTCTTTTTTCTTTCATCTCTTTTCCTTCTCTGTTCCTTTCTTTACTTTTCCTTCTTTTCTTTTTCTCTTTTCTTCCTCCCTTTTCATCTCGTTTTCTTTCACTTTGTCTTTTTTCTTTCATCTCTTTTCCTTCTCTGTTTCCTTTTCTTTTTTTCCTTCTTTCCCTTTTCTTTTTTTTCTCTTTCTTTTCTTTTTCCCTTTTCATCTCGTTTTTCTTTCACTTTTCCTCTTTTTTTTTTCTTTCTTTCTTCCTCCTTTTTCTCTGTTTTCCACTTTCTTTTTTTTTTTTCATCTCTTTTTCTTTTTTCCTTTCTTTTCTTCTTTTCTTTTTTTCTTTTCTTCCTCCCTTTTCATCTCGTTTTCTTTCACTTTGTCTTTTTCTTTCATCCTTCTCTTCCTTCTTTACTTTTCCTTCTTTTCTTTTTTTTCTTTTCTTTTTTTCTCTTTTTTTCTTTTCTTTGTCTTTTTTCTTTTCTCTTTCTTCTCTTTTCCTTTCTTTTTTGTTTTTTCTTTTCTTTTTTCTCTCTTTCCTTTTCTCTGTTTTTTCCTTTGTCTTTTTCTTTCTCTTTTCCTTCTTTTCTTTTTTTACTTTTCTTTTTTTCCTTTTCCCTTTTCATCTCGTTTTCTTTCACTTTGTCTTTTTCTTTCATCTCTTTTCCTTCTCTGTTCCTTTTCTTTTACTTTTCCTTCTTTTCTTTTTCTCTTTCTTTTCTTCCTCCTTTTCATCTCGTTTTTCTTTCACTTTGTCTTTTCTTTCATCTCTTTTCCTTCTCTGTTCCTTTCTTTACTTTTTCCTTCTTTTCTTTTCCTCTTTCTTTTTTTCTTCCTCCCTTTTCATCTCTTTTTTTTTCTTTCACTTTGTCTTTTTTTTTCTTTCATCTCTTTTCCTTTTTCTTTCTGTTCCTTTTTTTCACTTTTCCTTCTTTTCTTTTTTACTTTTTCTTTTTTTTTTTCTCCTTTTCTTCTCGTTTTCTTTCACTTTGTCTTTTTTCTTTCATCTCTTTTCCTTCTCTGTTCCTTTCTTTACTTTTCCTTCTTTTCTTTTTCTCTTTCTTTTCTTCCTCCCTTTTCATCTCGTTTTCTTTCACTTTGTCTTTTTTCTTTCATCTCTTTTCCTTCTCTGTTCCTTTCTTTACTTTTCCTTCTTTTCTTTTTCTCTTTCTTTTCTTCCTCCCTTTTCATCCTTCTTTTTCCTTTTCCTTCTCGTTTTTTATTTTCTTCTTTTTTTTTTTCTTTCTTTTTTTTCATCTTCATTTTTTTTCTTTTATTTTCCTTGCCCTTTTTTTTCTTTTTCTGTTCCTTGTCTTTCTCTCGTTCTTTCTATCTACTTTTCCTTCCTCAGGTTTTGCTTTTGGATCTTAACTTTCCTTTTTTGCTTTCTTAGTTCTCAGTTGTTTTTTCTATGTCTCATGTGTATGAGTGTGTGCGCCGCTCTCCCGCGCAGGCGCACCGTCTCTTTATAATACTTTTTTTGTCTCGCTATTTCTCTCTTTCCCTTATTTTTCAAAATCTTTCTTCAGTCCCCAAACCTATTTCAAAGTCGGTGTGAACATTCTCTTGTGCAGATTAAAATCTTTAGAAAACAAAATCGAGTCGATGATGCAATTTAGGTTGACATTTTAGTACGGAAAATACGAGAAAGAAAGAAAAAAATCACTTTAGCCAATTATGAAAAATTATTAAATCGATGACAAATGGCAGGAATACGCAATGTATTTCTCCAAGAAATGATTGTCGTTTGCAGATTTTTATTAACAATAATGGCTATTGACTTTCTCAAGGAAAACTTACGAAACCCAAGGAACGGTTTATTTTTATTATAATGCACATTCATATGATTACTTGGAAAATGTGTGCAAAAATGAAAAACAAAAAAATAAATGCTTCATCTCAAAATATCAAACTTACTGAACAAAAATGGCGTGCAATGTGGTAAAACAAATGCAAAGTAATAGAATTATTTCGACTGTCAGCGATTTTACGAGGCGAAATTATGTTATAACGATAATAAGAATATCTATGTAATATCATTCTTTATGTATGCTAGTGAATGCTTGACAATTTCTCCACTAGAAAAAGAGACAAGAGAAATGTGGTTCTACAGAAGCATTTTTAGAATAGTGTAGTCAAGCATGTAAGCAACTAGGAGGTTTCAAGGAAAATGGAAACAAAAAGAAAGTCGGTTACAAAGAAATCTGGTTCTCTGTGTCGTGCCAGAATGTTTTTTTTTTCTGCTCAGAGACCCTCTCACACATCTACAAATCTACCATTCGTCCGTGCACTGACTACCGCTGAAATATCCTGTCTGGTGCCACTGCGAATCATTTCAAGGTTCGCGAGAAAATCCAAAGACGGATATTGTTATGGTCCGGTTCCTTGAACCACGGTGATAGTCCAAGGTAGAACCAGTAAAGAAGAACTCGAAGGCGGATATGGAATAACACAGATATATTACAAACAGGAATATATACAACGAGGTAGAAAATGTTAGTACGAACAATCAGGTTTAGTAGTAATTGTCTGAACGCTACTCTATTTAGACTGCCTCTGACTCGACTGACTGACTCGTTCTGACTGACTGACAGACTCCTGACGGACTTCTGACGAACTTCACTCCAGACTTCAGACTGAACACTAGACTTCAGACGGAACGGTATTTATTCACCCCCCCACCACGAGGGCATCATGTGTCACAAGGCCAGTTTAACGTGGGATCTCCGAGCCCGTGGGCTCGGCCAAAAATATGCCCTTTGAACAGGTATAAACGGGTTCAGGGTCGGTTTACCTACCCGACAGAGAATCCGCCCTTCGGTGTAGCCTCGTTCGGGTTCCTCCCCGCCCGAAAGCAGAGAGTTCAACCGATCAGCCGGTCAGTCGGTCGTCTGACTTCGGACGGAACTCCCTGCTTCCTCTTGAGGCGCAGTATTTATTACGTATGGAATAGTCCATTATGTTATTATGGGTAAGGTCCCATAACATATATGTAATGTAATTGATCCTGACGTGGCATCTCGACTTCAGAGACTTTCTCACAGACGGTATTTACCTTCCCTTTATCTTTTCTACAAATATTTTCCTAGCAAGTGCTCTGACGAGCTTTTTTTCCCCTTTAAGTAGGACACTAGATTGGCATCTAGGTCCTACCTTTTTACTATTGAAATAGTTAAAGTTAACCGTCACTTCTACTCCAAATGCTTCTTCTCTCGCACCTCCTGTCAGTGGAACAACCTTCCTCTTACTTGCTTCCCTGACAAGTATAATTTTCAAAAATGAAAATGTAATGTCAATCGACATCTTCTGATGCCTTGATCTCCGTTCTTCATTTTACCCATTCCACCTCGTCTTTATTTTTTCTTAAACGTTTCACCCCAAGCAAGGCGGGAAGTCACTAGAACGCAAGGGGTTACAGAAGATTTGGAGCAAGGTCAGATAGGAGTGATAGAGGAAAGGATGAAGAGAAGGATAGTGGATAGATCAAGGCAACTGGAGATGTCGATTGACATTACATTTGAATAGTTGGAGATTATGCCTCTCAGTGAAACTGGAATAGGGAAGGGAGTTCCACAGGCGAGAGGTGCGAGACATGAAGGTATTGGAGTAGAAGAGACGGCTACATTTAGTAGTTTTGACAGTGACAGGGTGGGAGCGGGATGCCAGCCAAGTAGGGCGCTTGAATTCATGAAGTCTTGGAACCAGCGAATGCAGCTCCTCGGAGCAATTACCATGAAAGTATTTGTAAAAAAAAGACAGAGGGAGGCGACGGCGCGTCTGTGAGAGAGTGACTGTAGACGAGATGCCAGAAAAGGGCCAGTTATATTGCATATCCGCCTCTGGAGCTTATCAAGAACCCCGAGGCAAACAGAAGGGGCTCCAGACCATATATGGCAGCAATACTCCACGCAAGGGCGAATTGTTGATTTGTATATCTGAAGGATCGATTCCTGGGAGAAAATTTTCCTGGCGTCTATACCCAGTCTTTTCTCACAGTTTCGCTCTTTGTAACCCCCTGATTGCTAGTGGCACTCCTGCCTTGTTTGGAGTGAGATGCTTAAAAACAACCAGTCAGGAATCGAAAAAAGACATGATTGCTGTAACGTGCATCGCGGATGAATGCTGAGAAAAGACTGTCAGTTAAATTTCTTATGTCTCTTGTCTTTTTATTGAAAAAGGCACGGATTTTGCAGGAAATCCTTCTATGAAGGATTGTCAGTTATTTTGTTTTCTAGTATTAGTATATTTTATCAGCCAGCCATAGTTTACCAGCTGTTGAGTGTTAGGAAGAATAATGCGTTTTAGCCTTACAGTAGCTCACTGATACTAATATTAGCATTAGCGTCGCCATTGATACACTAACACTGAATGTGAATATAGAAAGATGAGATACACGCCCGTAACAAACAAAACATTTAATACGGCATAAAACTTACATAAACATATTAAAAAGATTTACACAGGTTCCAAAACAAATTATTGTTCATACCGTCCGAGGGACGAAAATGTTTATAAAACGAGAACAAGGAAATAACAAACCAGATTTAGGGCCTTTGACCATCCGTAGCTAAGTGAATCAATTTTTTTTCTCCATGTTAGGTTGTGCACATGTTGTCCAGTTTTCACGTGTGTGGATGCCCTGATAGTCAGGAATGTAACAGCCCGTTTCTCATAAAAAAAAGAATAGAAAAGAAAACGGAAGCAAAAAGAAAAAAAAGACAGAAGAGTTCTCCTCTTTAAAGGGACTTAACTCTCATAAGCTGAACCCAAGAGAAAACAACTGTGGTCGCCCTACACTAGTATCTCTTTAATCCTATTCCTGTTATTTTTTTTTTATTTCTTCGCTTGTGTCAGGGCATCATTCAACGTTTGTGTAATAATTGTTCTAATTTCGGAGATGAAATATGGTCGTCGCCTTTATCTTCTAATAAACAGGTAAAGTCTATGGATTTCTAACAAGAAGAAATTATTTGGTCAAATTTCTTTAACTTCTCATCAAAATCCCAGGTCGTCATTCCGCAGTCGTAAAGTAAGCCTCGTGGTTCAGAAAAAAGAATATGTAATTCGAACTTAGATCCAATCTACCCAGAAACCTATTTTTCTAAGGAAACATTACATGTTTGGCCACGAAAGGCTAATTAATACAGTCATCCAGATCAAAGGAGCGTGACGTTTCTGGCGTTAACCGAATGCCTATATATTCATTAACTAGCAGCATGACCCGGCAATGCCCGTACTTGATTCAAAAATCATACGACACATACAACAATCGCTATCACTTGACTTAAAATATTTTTGCCCTTCCTTGCTTTTAAAGGAGTGCCCTTTGCCGTGCTGATGTTGCTACATGCCTTACTTCTTGCCTATCTCACACTGCTAATTTTTTCTAAGCTCTATACTAAACATTAAATCTGTTACGAAAAAAGAACTAAACAAAATGAACACAAAACGATCAGCTTTAAAAAAGGACTCGTAACTGGAAAAACCGAATGAAAAAAGAATGTTAACAACAAATACTTTTTCACACCCAAACCCAGTTCTGCGGAATCAGAATCAACGTTGAGTTTAAGCAAGCGAATGAGCCAATTGGAGTAAAGTGCCATGCAGATTTACATTTTTCCCACTTGTGACGGATGCAGCTATCGATTTTTTTGCATGCTAGCATGCTAGTTAACATTCGTGTCAGTCAGCTGTTGGCTCTCACGCTGGTCAATAGAATCTTCCTGCCTATTCGTGGCAGCCAGTTATTGGTTCTCAATCTGGTCAGTACAAAATGGCCACAAACTACATGAAAAATCGATTATTTCTGTTAGTTCTGATCACAATTTCAAGATCGTTGTTCTACGATCGTTAATTATGAAGAAATCATCGGAAATAAGCGAGAAACTTCGTAGAAAATACTTTATTTACATTATTTACCGTCGGACTAATATCCTCATCTTTATTGCTATTATCACAACGTTTCGTCTTTAATTTTCTGTCGATCTGTGTAGTCTTTAAATATTTCGAACTGAACGCTTTATTTATCTCGAGGTGTAGATTGTTCTCGCCCCGATGTCCATGTCTAGAGATATATCGTCTTGTTGTTGTGTCGTTACAGACGCCGAATTTTAATTATTACAAATTTGTATAAGTTTCGTAATCAAGATGAAAGCACTAGTTTTCGAGCGAAAACAGCTTGATTTCGACCACTTTTCACTTTTTTGTAACTATGCAAAATGAATGAAATTTTAGTTATTATAAGTTCGTATTAGGTACCTAAACAAGATGAAAATACTATTTTTCAATCGGAAACATTGATTTTGACCAGTTTTCTGTTGTTTTGTTAACAGTGCATATATCAAATTTTAGTTACTATAACTTTTAGTAAGCTATGTAAAAAATAGAAGCCACTAGTTTTCGAGGGAAAACATTGATTTCGAGAACTTTTCGCTTGTATTCATAACTGGGAAAAAAAATCAAATTTATATTATGATAACTTTGTATTAGTTATCGAAACAAAATGAAAATACTAGTTTTTGATCGAAAAAAATTGATTTCCAATACTTTTCGATTTTT